GTTTTTTTGAAGCGTTATTTTTTTGGTTGTAATTAAAGCAGCCTGTGTTAGCATAATAACAGCCGGCCGCCTCAATGAGGCCTTTTGTTTTTAGCTCAGCTCCTTCCTGCCGCCTCATTAAGCCGCCGCAGCTTCAGTTAGCGAGCCGACAGCCGCTGTGCAGAGCCCCCCCACCTCCCCGGACCGGGCAGCGGTTCTGCTCCAGACCCCCATTCTCCGGCCCGCCAAGACCTGCAGCAACAGGACCGGCAGGACCTCCTATAAAACCTGATAAAAATATTTAAAACATCGGCGTCTGAGGAGGGAGAACGATGCGTTTGTGTTGTTGTTTCGGTGTGTGTGAACAGGCAGGGGCGCAGTGAGGAGGGGGGGTCCGGGGGGGTTAAACCCAGGCCTGAAAAGCAGCAGCTTGGCACCGGATCAACACCCGCGACACAATGTGCCATCCAGCAGCCGAACAAAGCGCCAGCGCCACGAACAAACAGACGACGCCGCAGCCGCCGYGACGTTCAGGGTCGAAGCCAGGAGGCCCGGCTCGGTCCGGACTGAGACAGGTGCACCGTCCGGCGCCGAMAAGGTGGAGCCCAGGCCCGTTTACAACCTGAACAACAAAACGATTTATTCCAATCAAACCGGTTAGTTCTCTGGAAAAAATCCAACAAAACGACAAAAACATAAATAAAAAAACTACTAATAACTCCTCCCTGCACTTCCTGTCGCATCGGCTCTGGAAACACGGCGTTCAAACGAGGATTCGCCGACAGGTGGGTCTGCAGGAAGTCCCAATCAGGTGCACCTGAGACTCCTGGGCCTTCCCCACGCTTTTATTTGTTTTTTTTTGTGAGAAAAAAAAGAGTTAAATCCACCTTTCCTGCGTCCCTTCTCCCCTCTGTAAAAATGTTTTACAGGTGTGGGTTCACCTGAGGTCAGAGCGTAAAATCACATTTTTCTAACCCGGATTTATGAGATAATTACATGTTTCTGTTTAAACAATAAAATGACCTTATATGGCACAGAGAGAGGCAGAAATAAATAATAATTTCAGCATTTACAGAAGTGAAATCCCTGAGAAAATAAAGCACATTTCAACCACAGGTTGGCTCTAACTGGGCCTTTAATACAGAGATTATTAGGCCCAGATTACAGCAGGGATTGAGGTAAAATCTGTGTTTAATAAAAGAAAACAAATATATTGATTAAAAGTTATAAAAACAGCAGAAAAAAAGGGGAAATAGTTGAAAAGTAAAAAGCTTTCCTCAGGTTTAATTTTGAGGCGTTCAGGTTCATTAAAAAAATTGGAAAACAAAGATTAATGATTTTAAATAAAGCTGGAGCATCAAAACGGATTTAAAAAACATGTTAGAATATTTGATTTGTATATTTGTGGAGTAAATTAAGTTTTATAAAATATTTAGTAGTTTTAGTTCAGGTGAAAACAGCGACAGCAGCTTTTTTTCCTGACCGCCTCGAACGCTCCTCGCTGCGCTCCAGGAGGAGAGCCGCGGAGCGGAGCGGCTCTCCTCCTGGAGCGGATCAGAGGAGCGTTCGAGGAGGTCAGCGGACAAAGTGAAGCTCCCGGAGGAGACAGGCTGCCTCTCTTACCGCCTTCCCGTTGTAGTAGTACATGAGCGGGCTGCCGGTCACCCCCGGGATGGTGTACGCGCAGTACATGGTTCCGCTCCTCTCCTCGCCGGAGCAGATTCAGACTTCTGGTTCGCTCTCCCGGTTCTCTCCACCGTAGCTCCAGGGCTTTTTTTTATTTTAAGTAAAAAAGAAAAACTTTTCCTGGAGGCGCTTTTTATTATAATTTAATTAAATCTATTTTTGTTGTTGTTGTCCGTCAGCTCCAACTGTCGCTCCGCTCGCCTTTTTTTCCTCCCGCCGACAATTCCTTCAGTTGCATTTTCCCCCATATGTCCGCGCCGAGGCACGCGGAATATGCAAAGTAGGCGGAGGGAGGGGAGCGGAGAGAGGAGGAGGGGGGAGGAGGGAACAGCCCACCCCTCCCTCTTCTCCTACAGCGGCGCACGTGGAAGAGGGGGAAATATTCAAAGCGCATGCGCAGACGTTGTTGTCCACAGGAAAAACAAATTGGTCCAATTTCACCATGTATATATGTATATATACTGTACATATATATACATA